TGAACAGGTATTATTTTTTCTTAAAATTTTCAATGTTTTTATTACTACGAAACATCGCTTCAATGAAACTTAGAAGTTGCCTTGAGTTTGAGAGAACAAGAAACATGCAACCGTGCAACCGAACATGTCAAAGGTAGAGCTAATGTTGAATTAAGCTTTCGATTAAAATTTCACATCGCTAAAAGCTTTTCTAAAGCGATAGTATACCTTGATAAAATCAAAATATTTGATGAATCATTCATAGTAGCAATAAAGAAGAAATGTCGAAGAGAACAGGAATCAACTTGATGATGATTGTTTTGAAGACGAAACAGTGATCAATACATACGCACTAAAGACGATCAATCACCATCAAAACAGACCAAACTCGCTTCCTGTGTTCTCGCGCAGCAACTGTCACGAGTTGTGCTCCTCTAGTTTTCTGCACGCTCTCGCTTATCGTACGAGCCGACTGCCCTGTCCGCTGCTGGTGCCGGTCCGGGGTCCCAAAGTAGTGCATTGAATTGACAACAATGGTGAATCAAGAATATTTTCAATTCGTTATCGTTCAATTTTACTTGTTAAACAGTGGAGACTACATTTATTTGTGAACAAAGGTGACAAGAAAGGAATCTGTTGTGAACAGGGCTGTTTTAAGATCTATCAAATACTTGCTAATCAATATCACCAAAGAAAAGTGAAGTGAATAATGTTAACCTACCACGTCCCCTTTCGGGAGACTAATCACTCAACCTGTTGAAATACTAAATAATCAAGAAATGTGAAATATTCGTTAACGACAGTACGAATGGATCGACAACTCTCGAATACAGCGACCTAACAGAGAACCTTCAGCGACAGCACCAAGTGTTATTGCAAGAACATCAACAATGAAAACAACATTTCCAACAACTAATGCATCCGAACCAACATTTACAACTTCAAGCACAGAAACATCTGCGCAAAAAAGAGATTCCAGCCACCGTGTTAGAAGCTACGGCAACGAACGGCCACGCATCTTCAACGCAGGATACGTCCTCAAGCCTGAGGAGCTCAGCAAACAGTCCCACTGCGCCGACACAAAGACGAAATGAGAACTCCAAAGGACCCTCTTACGAAGATTAACAGTGAAAATGACCTCATAAAAAACAGGTACGCGCATCTCTCTCGTGATGAAAATTTAAAAGTAGCCTCGAAATCTGAGAATATCAATTAGATGATAACCAAAGCAGCACACAAGGACAAAACGAATATAGACCGTCGCCTATTTTCATACCAGGCGTTAGAATTATATCTTATATTACCAAATCTATTAAATATAAAGAGTTCTGTATAAACTAATCAAAATGTAGCCAAAATAACAAAGAACAATGTCAAAATCTTACCTCAAACACCGGATGTTTATCGAAAGCTTGTTAAACATCTGAATCTGAAAAATATTGCTCCTTATACATTTCAGTTAGAGCAAGAAAGAGCCTTCAGGCAGTGTTAAATAAAATCACCAATCAGCAGACGAAAAGGAACTTAAAAAATATATAAAAACACAAGGCTACAAGGTAAGTCAGATTCCTAATATTAAGTATCGGTTAACAAAGCACCTCTATGAATGTCTTTTTGTGGATTTAGAACCTCAAAGTAACAAAAACCAAATCTATGATATCTTATATTTAATATATGCAACAATGAGTTTTGAACCACTGAAAACTCAAATAATGCAATGAAAACGATGTTTGTCCTGCGAACATAGTTTTCGTTACTGCACGCTTACGAATGGCTGCGTCAAATCTGCAAAGAATCACGATGATCGGACCAGTACTAAAACGAGTAACACACGAGCTACATGTACTCTATGTAGCCGTAATCATCCAGCAAATTATAAAGGCTGCGAAGTCTATCAAAAAATTCGTAACAACAAATACCCAAGTCAAAGTCAATACAGCAGAAATTCTACGCAAAACAAAACTGAAGGTATCAATTCAATTTCACCAAGGTGCAATCAAGCCAGAGGGACAAGGAGACAGCTCACATATACAGAAATGGCCCATTATTCGCAAATCAATAATCAAAGTGTATCGTGTGAAATAATATCATATCCATAATATAAGAATAATTTAAAAACTTCGAGTCCATCTTAGCAAAGCAAGATGGATAAATCTCTAGCCTAATTAATATCATAACTGCAATAATGAAGAAACTATGAGTAATTTACTGAAAATTGTCTCCTGGAATGCCAAAGAAGTACTCTAGCATCGTAGAGAGAAGTGCTTCTACATCAAGAACATATTGACATACTTCTAGTATACGAATCACATTTTACAGAAACAAAAATAAGACATAATATGTACGAAGATAATGATGAAAACTATCTGCAAACAACCTCTACAGAAGTAAGTAGCTAAAACAAACCTCTAAGTTTGGTCCGTTTGTTATTTCAGCTATATTCTCCCCTCCAAAATACAAAATAACCACTGATCAGTATATCAAGTTTTTTAGAACACTCGGCCCGAAGTTCATTGCTGAAGGAGACTACAATACCAAAAATCAACTTTGGGGATCACAACTGGTAACCACAAGAGGTCGCGCTTGAGAAGCAGCCATTTCAACACTAAAACGCCAAACAATTTCATGAGGAAATCGCACATACTGGCCAACGGATGGTAACAAAGTACCTGATGTCTTGGAATCTTCGTCATATCTTCGTCACAAAGGGAATGGCGCAGACCTATCACACAATAGAGCCGTTTTTTTATCATCATCTTTTGATCTGTTATCTGATATTTCTCCTGAAATACTGACAATCAGTTCTTCTGAAATCAAAAAGAAAAGAAAAAATATATCTTAAGAGTAGAAAAATGAAACGGGAAGAATACAGCAACTGGCTTCACTATAACACCTCTGCCAAGGTTCATTTAAATATCCAGAAGATATCAATGATGCTGTTGAATACTTAATACAACACATTCAATAGGTAGCAGTATATGCAACAACAGAAACGAGAATGAAAAAAATAAATACGCATCAAAACTTCTGAAAATGATTAAAGAGAAAAGACAGATGAAGATGACATGTCAACGCACACATCACCGGACGACCAACGAATACTCAACTGAACTACCACCTCTCGACAAGAAAATTACAAGAATTTCACTCGTAGGTAATGAATAGAAAAGCTGTCACCTTTAAAACCAACTGACTACTTCCTTATGAAAAATAACTAAACATTTTAAAAGGCCTAGAAAACCTGGTCCCCCTTCGTAAAATCGAAAGATGCTGGGCTACAACAGCAAAAGATAAGGCAGAAAAATTTGCAAATTATTTTGCAAAATAATTTTCAACCAACCCCCGCAGAATTACTCATAGAAGAGAAAGTAATTATAGAGTTCCCAGTCCCCAACAAATGTCCCTACCTAGTAAATTCTTCTCACAGCAGGGTTGAAACTACTGCAAAATCACATGGCTCCTGGACATGATCGTATTACATGGGAAATGCTTAAAAAACTGCCTAAGAAAGTAACTGCCCTTGCAACATCCATTATCAATGGAATAATACGCATAGGACACTATCCTTCGCAGTGGAAACTGGCACAATTAATTGAAATTGCAAAAAGTTTGCTATCTAACATTTGCGCACTTCTGATGCAAAATCTGATGTTTTCTCAACCGACGCGTCTACTAAGAACTTGATATCATCTACTACCACCCACCAGTGATTCAAAGACATTTTTCACACAAATCATATAGCCCATCGCTCTCTCGCGTTCCTCCTCCCCTCACCCCGCAGCCAAACTCAGGGAATCTTCGCAAAGGGCCTCTAAACTCACGTCAGAACCGGACAGATGTTTGCACTATTGGCAGTGTTCATTGTTGTTAAAATAAAGGAAAGGGGTCAGGGAAAAACGTTCGTCTATGTTCAAACTAGGTTTCGTATTCAGTTATTAAACGTTTTAGAAATGAGTAAGATAAAAAGGTATAAAGAGAAAGAAATAGGTAAGCAGTATGCATTCAATCGGACAGTTCTGTATATCGGACAATAGCTTAGGCATAATGGTTGTGCCTGTGAAGTAGCAGTGATGAAAATCATCTTACCTCATGTGTTAGGCAACATTTGCGACGAGGAAAACATGGGATGAATAAAGCTTTGAAACCATCATCAAATATTCAGTGCTATATCGGCAGCTGTTTCAAACATGCGGAAGAAATGCAGCCTAGGCACAATAAATTTGCTCTTGATCTAACACGGCAAGCACACACATTGGCATTCCTCCACATCTGTATTAAAATGTAGTTTGTATGCAACTTCTCTCTTTGCCTCGACATTTCATGTGGATTTGTCATGTTATGGATAAAATCATGTAATATATTTGCACCTGAACAAGTCCCCATTTTTAATATTTCTTTGCGCCTATTTTAGCACCTAAATTGGAAAAAATGTGCCCCCTTAAAAGACCGGCCTCTAGTTATAATTGCATTTGATTAGAGAGGAAGATACATTAATGACAAATTTTTAACAGCCGTAGGGTACCTACGCAAGCTGAAAATGTACGGTAAGTGGTCAATTAATGATCCGAAAACACTGGACCATTAACAGTTCCTATACTTGTACAAAAAACTAATTTCTTTCCTAAAAATTATGCAGCGAACCAGCAAAATAAATCAGATATTCCATGATGAAACTTTGGCGGTTCAATAGCCCTGTGATATGGAATATGGAAGGTGGCTTGATGGTCTGAACTACTTGCTTTTGAAGAATATTTTTTTCATTAATATGTTAAAATCAGGCTTCTGAGGGCGCATAGGAGCAATCGAATTCTTTTTATATTAGATATAAACACATTTAGCTCTAAAAAACACACCTTTGGTTATGATTGCAATCAATGTCTTTACTTTGGATAAATATCTTCGAAACATTGTCTTTGGAGGATTTGGACTGTCCCAGGATGCGCCACCGATCTCATCTGCTTTTTTGCTGACTCCCAGTCCGAGCGTCGCGCATCTACGCCCGCAGGCGCTCCAGTACTCACATGCCGCTAAATCTTGCAATTGCTCAAATTCGCCCGGGGACAACTTGTCCCAGTGGAGCAACGACATGGCGGCTGCCGGAGTGGCCGGCCGACCTCAGTGCTGAGGCGGAGGGCTGTCAGACGGAGAAGAGGCCGGCGCCGAGGGCGGGGGCGGGGGCGAGGGCGCGAAGGCGAGGGCGAAGGGGCGGCCGCGCCGCAAAGCCAAGTGCAGCTCCGCCGGGGT